TACCAGCAGAACTATGTTTATTGCAGCATTATTTACCATAGCTAAGATATGGAACCAACCCAGATGCCCCTCAGTAGATGAATGGATCAAGAAAATATGGTATATATTTGGTCTATTTTAAACAGATATTATCATTAAAATGTTTATGCTCCTAGTCTATTACACAGAGTGTGAAATAGTTCAGAAGTTCATACATGGACACAGTGGTGAGTTTTATAACTGTCACTTTCTGAACAGCAGGCAATATGCCATGTACCTGCTGAGGCAGTTGGTGCACAAATTAATCTTTACCTGACTACAGCTAGTGAGTGTATTCATCATGCTTCATAGTATCCAACGAGTGTATTCATCATGTTTCATAATGAATGCAGCTGAGGCCCTGGCATTCTAAACTCATTTCTAATGTCCCTGGACTAATGAATAGAAGATTCAGATTTCAACCTGTGTTTATTCAACATTTGATGCTTGATCAGTTTATCATTCCTTTAGGCTCCTGTTGAAGTCAATGTTGATATCAACTGCTTCAGGATGAACTGTCACACTCTGGGTGTGGAGAATCTAGCTCTGAAGCTTGCTACAACTGGTGACTTTTACTGCTCAGATAATTTTGGAGCATAATGATATAACAAACACGGAAGTGTCCCTCCCCACAGGCAGAATCTGGAAAGGAAGCATCTCCTGAAAGAGTAATTTCTTCCATATTCACTATTCTTTGCTGCAAATAATAAATAAAGTTTAATATTGTTGTTCAACATTTTGTGATTCATCTTCACCAGTGACTTAGCATAAACATGAGCATAGTTAATAGTTATAAAAGCAGTGAGTAAAATGGAGGTCAGGAAAGTTTGGCTTGATAAGATTAGAGCTTGAGTAATCCCAAGTATTTTTGAGCCTTGGTTATAGGGCAAAGTAAGCAGTAAGTTGCTTCATCACTCATGTAATTATAGAAGCAGTTGAAGTCAGAAAATACAGGTCAAAAAAGTTTATGTGTTAGAATGTGAATGATCTCAATTCTTGGTGAACCTTGTATCCAGGGCTAAGTAAGAAGTCATTTACTGTATGACACAAATAATTATGAAAAATGGTTAAGGTCAGAAAATGAAAGTCAAATAATTTGTTTTTTCTCAGTGGAGGGGTTTGAACTCTGGGCCTGGGCATTATCCCTGACCTCTTCATTTCAAGGCTAGCACTCTACCAATGGAGCCACAGTGCCACTTCTGGGTTTCTGGTGGTTAGCTGAAGAGTCTGATGGACTTTCCTACCTGGGCTGGCTTTGAACCTGGATCTTCACATCTCAGCCTCCTGAGTAGCTAGGATTACAGTCATGAGCCACTGGTGCCTGGAATATGTGAGATAAATTTATGGGTTATTTTGTCATTAAAATTGGAGATTTTATGTAGGTTCTGGTGGCTCATGCTTGTAATGCAACTATCTGGGGAAGGAGTTGACAGAAGGGTGACACAAAAGTCTTCATTCCAGCAGGTCCCCAGTAGCTGTCCTTTTGCCTCAGACACTTGATAAGCTTCCATCCTTGACTGACTATCTTTACTTGTTTGTTTGTTTGATTGTTTGTGTGCCAGCCATGGGGTTGGAGCTCAGGTCTTGGGCTCTATCCCTGAGCTTCTTTTAGTAAAGCTTGTGCTTTACCACTTGAGCCCTAGCTCTACTTGTGACTTTTCTTTTGGTAGCTTATTGGAGAAAAGTATATACAGACTTTCCCCCAATATCTGGCTTTGAACTGGCATCCTCAGATCTTAGCTCCCTGAGTAGCTAGGATTACAGGCAGGAGCCATCAGCCCCTGATTGATGTTTCTACTTCTTATTTTCCTAAATTAGGAATCTTTCAGTGTTTCTTTCAGTATCTCAACCTTCCCAAAGAAGCAAACTAGCAGCATTTCCAAAGTTCCAAAGGGTGATTTTGTGTCATTGTTTTTGATGGTTTAGATATAATTCATAATGAAGATGGCATTGTATGACAATCATGTCAGTGAGGGGGACAATAACTTCACCTACTCCAATACAATAACTTCACCTACTCCAATACAATAACTTCACCTACTCCTTCATTTAATAAGATGGTATATGTCAGATCCCTCTGTTGTGGATGATTGCATTTTAAATGTTATTATGCAAAATGGCAAAGTACTTAATACTGGGTGAAAATAACTAAGTTACATTCTTTGCTTTTGTTTCCATTAATGACCCTTGCTTGACTCAATGATCCTGACCTGAAAGGCTAAACAGGATGAAATTTCTAATTCTATCCTCACTTTTGTTTTCTCAAAGGCTTACTATTTCTTAAAGACTTTTTTGTATTGAAACAAACTGAATTATGACAGGTATTAGGCCTGCTTTTTGAGCTTGTTTTTATTTTAGAAGAACACACCTGATGTTTTTATTAAAATGTTTTTATTGTTATTACAAAGGTAATGTAGAGAGAGGTTACAGTTGCATGTCAGGGAGAGTATATTCCTTTTTGGACGAAGTCTCTCTTTCCCTTTTTCTCTCCCAATTTGTTTCCTCCCATCTTCACCCATAAGATGATTCATTTTAATTCATGATTCATGACTTTATTCATGATTCATTCATAAGATGGTTCATTTTCACCATAGAGTCTAGAGAGTACCATTGCTTTCTTTGTTCACCCTTTTGATGTTTATTTTTAAAATCCTTTAATCCTGTGCTCTGAGAATTCACCCTTACATCTATCATTTGAATCCATAATCCACATGAGTTGTGTGGAATGTTCAGCGACAAACTGGAGTGAGAGGTGGGACAGGCACAAGAGCCCACTCTTGAAGAAAGTATGAGCAGCTCAGAAGTTTTTGCAATACCAGAGTGATTGGAACTTCAAATGTTGTTTGAGGGCACATTATTCTGATCTTTGTCCCTATTCACAGAAACAGCCCCATTGATTGCAACATCTGTCTCAATGAAAATGTCATTGCTCTTTTTTTGAAAAATAGAACTAATTTGTTCCAAATGTAATTCTCAACTTCATGATTTTTTTTTATTAGCCTGGTGTTCTTTATATGTGGTTTCCAGTGCACAACCATTTTGATGTCCGTGCTATATGATAACAAGGAATTCCCTAACACAGAAATGTTTGACCCTGGCCACTTTCTAGATAAGAGTGGCAACTTTAAGAAAAGTGACTACTTCATGTCTTTCTCAACAGGTACCAGTCTACCATTAGTCCATTTGCCTGTGTATCACCCATTCCAAAGTCCATCCAACAAGCATATTCTCTGGGGCAGATATACACACAGGGCTTAATATTGTAACAATTACATACCAGGAATCACTACACGCTAGTGGATTTTTTTGTTTCTCTAGGAAAATGGACTTGTGTAGGAGAGGGTTGGGCTCATATGGGGCTCTTTTTATTGCTGACTACCATTTTACAGAACTTTAAACTAAAATCTCTAGTTGACTCAAAGGACATCTACACAATCCCAGCAGCCAATGTATTTGCTGCCTTTCCACCCACTTACCAGCTCTGCTTCATTCTTGTCTGTGTAGGTGCACTGTGACAGCACATATTCTGAGACCCTGGCTCCTTCTTTCCCTGTGCAGGATGCCTTCCCTCCACTCAATGCTAATTTCACCTGCTGTGCTCAAGATCCAGGAAACCCATTCATCAGTTTGTACTTTTAGTGGAAGGTTGGCTGAGAGGGGGGTGGGGAGGAATGGTGTCATCGCGCAAACACACTTGTTATTCCTTCTGTTTTATTGCAGTTGTTTTGACCATGCCAATTTCCAGTGTACAGGTGTATCTGTGTGGTTCATATGCTATCACTGAAAAATGACAAACTGACTCAGAGATGATAATTTGGAGCCATTTCTCCTCTGTATGTTCTTGATAACCAATATTTTTGATTGTTCTGACCATTCTTATTCTCCTTTCCTGTGTCAAGGAAGATGAAAAAAAACAGAAATGCAAAGACGCTCCTTTTCCACTCAATGAAAAACTAAAGAATTTAAGGGGAGGATGGTAGAAAACAGAGTCAACTGAGTGTCACTCCGTGTTTCTAGAGCTTTAATTTTAAAACAGATGGACAATTCTTAAAAGCATATCCGGCCTATAGGGAAATAGAATGGAAATGAATCATAGTTAGGAAAATAAATTAAGGTTAAAAATCATGATCCTGTTTTGATGTTTCTGTGAACATATAAGAAAACTTGAAATACTATTTAGACAACCTAGATCCATGTGGGAATATGTATTTCCATATTTGTGGGTGTTATTCATATGGGTTGAGTCTTCTTCTTTCTCCCCAAGACAAAAGTCCTCAAAATCATCTCCTTTTCTATTGTTTTTCTGCCTTCCATGTAGTTTTACATTCCATCTAAATGAGTACAGCAAGAACCTAAAGTCATTATCCCATGATAGTGTACGTCTAAAACAGGACTGAAATTCTTTTCCTTGCCTGTCATCTTAAAATATTATAATGCAAAGTAACTTGTCATTACACTTCCTCCACTCTCCCAAAGGGAACCACCTTATCTGGCAATTTTCAGTTAACACTAACTCTATGTGGAGATATGACTCTGAAATACATGAGTACACTGACACACATTCACATATTATACATATTCTTTATAGATATGGCTTTATAAATAGAATTCTTTATAGAATTGTTTGTAGGTTCAGGTGCATGAAGTTTGTACAATGTGTTGTTTGGCCACTAAACTATATGCCAGGAAAACCTTCAAGATTGTAAAAATATGAGACATGATTTTTGATATTTAAGTTAATTTCAACTGATATGTTGAAAAGTTGATATTTAAGTTAATTTCAACTGATATGTTGAAGCATATATATATTGCATGGAGTTCACATCAGAATAAACGTATTTGTATCCTTACATAGTTATAATTTGTGGGTGATAAATCATTCTCAGTCATTTCTTCTCTTTGGAAAATAGACACTATTTGAAAGGTTAAAGTTTGAAGCAGTGACCACCACTTGTTGCTTGTTTCTGTCTAGTAAAGCAACACGTGCTGGTAATCAAGACACCTGGTTGATTGTGTGCCTACATAAGACCTGCAAATCCTTAGCTCGGGGTTCTCCTCCTGGGCTCCGCTGTAGCAGAGTATAGGATGAGGCCCGAGCTGCAGCCCATTTAAATAAAACAGCTGTTGAGTCTGACTCTCGGTGGTCTTCTTGCGGGGGTCCTGTGACCTTGGCATAAAATATTAGTGGAGGCTCATCCGGGATACCCCCCAAAGACCCCCGAGACCTCAGACTCCAAAGGTAAAACATCGCTGTCTTTGTTAATTTGTCCTGTCCTGTTGTTTGTCTGTTTTACTTTCCCTTTCCTTTGTGAGGATGGCCGCTTCAATTCCTAATGTCAAAGCAGACACAATTGTAAGACAACCCTGGAGGAACTAGGAGATGTCCCAGATCCTCTGGTGGTTTGGGGGTAACTCTGCCGTGTGGAGCGAGGGTCCTTGGAACCCCGCCGTGGGGGGCATGGGGAGTCCTTGGAACCCTGCCGTGTGGGGCATGGGTCCTTGGAACCCTGCCATGTGGGGCGTGGGTCCTTGGAATCTCATCCGTGTGAATTGTGGGGCAGGGGTCGGTTCAGTATTGGGCCGGAACTGACCAAGAGGGCCTCCTAACCGAGGCCCAACTCACCCACTGTGGGTCTACTCCTTCTGCTGTGGGGCATGGGTGTCCCATTACAGGAGTCAGCGGACCAATTCGGGAGATCTCCACTTCGTAAGCTTTTTTTTTTTCCTGACTGTCCTAACTGTCAGGCCTGCATGTGTCTTGTTTGTACTGTTTATTGTTTTTTGGACTGAAAGACTGAAGGGACTGGAAACCATCGCACCACTCCATCTAGCCCCCTAGAAACTGAGAAAGAGGAAAAGAAAAGGTACCCCCTGGTTTTTCAGGGAGATAACTTGGAAGAAGAAATGTTTCCTCCCCCATACTCCCCTTTCCAGGCTCCTATTGCAGAACCTGAGAATGATCAAGGGGAGGAGGGAGCTATAGAACCCTCGGCACCTGCCCTTAAAGTTTCTGAGGGGCCAGTCACTCCACGACGCTGTGGTATCAACCCCCATTCTAGTGCAGCTGTTTTTCCTTTAGGCGCTGTAGGTACTGTAGATGTGAATGGTCAACAGCAACTCCAATATTGGCCATTTTCTACCAGTGATCTATATAATTGGTGCACCCAAAATGCCCCCTTTTCTGAGAAACCCCAGGATTTAATTCGTTTGCTTGAAACTATTCTCTTTACTCATCAGCCAACTTGGGATGATTGCAGTCAGCATTTAGAGGTCCTTTTTACCACCGAAGAGATAGACTGTATCGGAGAGGCGACCCGGAAACATATCCCTGGCCCCACAGGAGCGCCCATCACGGATCCTGCCCTAATCACTGCCTATTTTCCTGAGATCCGACCAACATGGGACTACAATACAGTTGAAGTTAGGAAGCAACTCCTTTTCTACCGCCAGGCTCTGTTGGCAGGTCTCAAGGCAGCAGCTCGCCGACCTACTAATATGGCCAAAGTTTATGATGTTAGACAGGGAGGAAGTGAAAGTCTGGCAGCATATCTTGAGCAGCTCATGGAAACTTTTAGTGAATATACCTCATATGATCTTAACACCCAAGAGTTGGCTCAGATGATTGTTTGCCTCACCAGACATAAAGCAAAAGTTGCAGGCTCTAGACAGATTTGGTGAAAAGTCTATTAGGGATCTAGTAGTCTATTAGGTTTACAATAAGAGAAAGACAGAGGAGCAAAGACAGGAAAGGAAGGACAGAGAACATGAAATTGAGCATGAAAAGAGAGACCGGGCCAAGGAAAAGGGGCCAGACTTGTTGGACTCGCTACTATCCCATGCTGAGAATACCTGGTTCACAGGCAGCAGCAGTTTCATTCAAGATGGAAAAAGGTACGGGGGCACAGCATTCACCACAGACACTGAGATAGTGTGGGCAAAAGTACTCCCCCAGGGAACATCTGCACAAAGAGCAGAAATAGTGGCACTAACAAAAGCCCTACAGATGGAAAAAGGGAAGAGACTAAACATTTACATGGACAGTCGGTATGCTTTTGCCACTGTGCATATCCATGGAGCCCTTTACCAAGAGAGGGGGCTGCTGACAGCTGAGGAAAAGACTATTAAAAACAAACAGAAATTTTAAGCCTCATCCGGGCCATATGGGAACCAGCAAATATTGCCATTATGCACTGCCCTGGCCATCAAAAGGGAACTGATTCTATAACCAAAGGAAATAACTTGGCCGATCAGGCAGCTAAGGAGGCAGCCCTCCAGACCAGAGTGGAAGTACTGACTCTAGTAGACCCAGGACCACAAGCTTTGCCTCCTGAGCTTCAGTACTCCCAAGAAGACTTGGAGTGGATAAAAAAAACTCCCATGGCCTATAAACCCCCGGACAGAGAAGGAAACAAAGACTGGTAGAAAAATGGTGAGGAGAAACTTATCTTGCCACAAAGATTGGGCAAGGGGATTCTTAAGAGAATCCATTGGGTCTCTCACATGGGAACCTGAAGAATGCAAGATTTGCTCCCACACTCAGAAGTAAAAATTAGGCAAGGAAATCAACTCATTGAGGACATTGTTAAAAATTGTAAAGCCTGTCAGCTCTCCAATGCCCCCAATCAACTGGTTACAAAAGGAGCTCGACTCAAACTGGAAAATTTGGATGTAAATATTTGCTAGATATTGTAGACACTTTTTCAGGATGGGTTGAAGCCTACACAACAAAGCATGAGACTGCAAACTTTGTGGCTAAGAAGATCCTGGAAGAAATCCTACCAATCCACCATCTGGTCGGACAATGGACCGGCCTTCGTCTCAAAAGTAAGTAAGGGAATAGCCGAGGCACTAAGGATGGATTGGAAATTGCGCTGTGCTTATAGACCCCAGAGCTCAGGGCAGGTAGAAAGAATGTATAGGACTCTAAAAGAGACCTTAACTAAATTGGCCTTGAAGACTGACCCATACTGGGTATCACTCCTTCCTTTTGCCTTGTTTAGAATAAGAAATTCACCCTATCTGCTTGGCTTTACTCCTTTTGAAATAATGTATGGACACCCTCCACCCATTATCCCTAGCCTTCAGACTGAATTGCTTGCTGATTTGGATGATACTGAATTTCTGTGTAAGCTTTACTATTTACAGCTGGTACATAAGAGTATGTGGCCCCAGCTTAGAGTATTATATGATTCTGTTTCTATTCCTACCCCCCATTTGTTTAAGCCAGGGGACTGGGTGTTACGTTTGAAGGCACAACGTGCGATCTCTGGAACCACAGTGGAAGGAATCTTACATGGTGCTACTGGCTACACCCACTGATGTTAAGATGGACGGCATTGCTGCTTGGATCCACTGTTCCCATGCCAGACCAGCTGACCCCATTGCCCTGGATGACCATGGGGAAACATGGGAAGTCTCTAAGCATCCTACCCAACCACTCCATATATAACTCAAGAAAAGGAAAATGGACTGATTGTTATTGGTATACTCGTTCAAGATTAAGGACTGTTGGAGT